TCAGTACCTTCTTGCGTGCTGCTCATACAGTGGGGACGGGGGGCGGGTTTGGAATAGATATGAGCAACACATCTCGAAGAACAACAGTTACAACGGTGAGTAACCGTCTTTTGTGCTCTTCAGTTCAATTTAATAACATTTTAACTATAATTACCTTGTATACAATCTTTATAAGCTCCACTGATGTAAATGATTTTCCAGCGTTCTCCTGCAAAACATTTAGGATTTGTTGTTCACGTGCATTTCGGTGAGAAATGTATCCTTGAATTTTAGCACATGCATCATGTACTACTGGGCCATGTCCTAAATTCAAACACAATTACAAGAGGTTTTTTTTTTAATATGAGAAACAGAATTTTTTAATAATTTAACTTATTCAATAATTTGCTCACAAATATCCTCTCACTTTGGTAAAAAGCTCTGATAAGCCTATAAATCCTATGGAAGCAGCAGCATCCCTGTACTTACCAACCTGCTAGTTAGGGTTGCCAATTTGGAAATACAGTGAAACCCCGCTATAACGTGATGATTGGGGTCCAAAAATTTTAATCGCGATAAATGTGGGGTCGCGGTATAGCGGGGTTACCAAAATTTTACCATTTCAAGCCGGTCAGTTTCTCTTGGGCAGAGAGCAGGGGAGAGGTGCAAGGAGCAGCTGGGGAGGAGAATGGCTCTTCCCGCCAAAAGAAGAAGTGGGGGTAGAGGGGAAGAGACAGTGGGGAAGGCACTTTCCTTTTTTTGTTTTTCTTTGGCGGCGCTCCGGCCGCTTTTTCTTTTTTTGGTGTGCCTCGGCGGTAACTCTGGCCGCTTTTTTTTTTTTTTGTCCTTCAGCGGCACTCCGGCTGCTTTTTTTTTGGCGCTTGGGGTGGCAGGAGCCACCTTATGATCGTGTTATAGCCGTATTCGCGTTATCGTGGGGCGCACTATAGCGGGGTTTCCCTGTATTTAAAAAATGGACACTCTAGCAGGAGTGCTGGAACCTCCACTACCCTGCCTCTTCCCCACCCCTGCCCAGCATATTCTCCCTAAAGCCTCACCCCACCTCTTCCTCTAAGGTCCCGCCCCCATCCACTCCTTATAGAGGCTGTAATACAGTAACTGTTCATTTTCAAAGTCACATTAAACATTCCAAAACAAACCTTAGTTCTGAATCACAAAGATATAGTTATCAACAAACCTGTCATTTCAATTTGAAAAAGATTTAACACACTCCACCTCCACCGAGCTAGAGAGCCAATGTTTGGATATGAAAATGGAACCAAAATTTTGCAACGTTCAAGAAGCTTCACACATCCTGTATACCAGCTCATCTCCAGCAACCACGTACACATACACTTATCTATGATACTGTGCCAAAATTGAAAAACTTGGAACCAAATCTGGATATAAACTGTCCCAACTTTTGGAGCACTCAGATTTATAGTTTGGGTTTGAGCTCTTTTCCATTTCAACACAAACACCCCATTAATAAATCTAATAAGTGACTTGCAAAACAATTACAAATACATTTCTAGATCTATTCCATACATGTATTTTAATAGAAGTATTTTAATATTTTAATAGTTTAGACCTTATGCAAACACTGGTTTGTATCACCCTAGATACCCAGATGCCTCCCATCATCATAGCACTAGAGTGCATCACAACCATGAAAGAATCTATTTTTGTAACACCTCTTTGAAATAGTATCATTATCCATATATTACAGATGAGAAATTTAGGCAGAAAGAGACAAGTGACATTGTCAAGTCATACAGCAAGTTTGTGACAGAGGTAGGAATTGACCACAAATCCTATTTCAGAGGATTAACCACAAGGCCATTCTTCCTCCCTCATTTAATACTGTTAAGGAACTAAGACATTTGTCAACTTTTATTACTTAACAGGAGAATATATGGGGATATACCTATCTCATAGAACTGGAAGGGACCTTGAAAGGTCATCGAGTCCAGTCTTCTGCCTTCACTAGCAGGACCAAGTACTGATTTTGCCCCAGATCCTTAAGTGGTCCCCTCAAGGATTGAACTCACAAACCTGGGTTTAGCAGGCCAATGCTCAAAACCACTGAGCTATCCCTCCCCCCAAATTCTGCTCTCCTCATGTGATACACAGAGAAATAAAATTACACTCTCTTTATTATTTTTCTTTATAAAACTGTGAAGCTCCACATGGGCTTTCTACGTTACAGCAGAATAGTGGATGGTGTTCTCATACGGTATAAGGGGCTTAAATGTCATATTAGTGGTCTGGGTTACAATGAGAAGTTGGAATGATAGAATCTTTGTTCTGTATTTGGAGGGCTAGACTTGAGATCTTGATGGCAGTCGATGTTGGAAAAATCTATGTTGTTAAGTGGGAGACTATCAGAATTTCTGAATATAAGTTGAGGCTGTCCAGGACTATATGGACAGAATTAAGCTTGGTTTTTTAAATACAAAACGTGATACTATACATTTGTACATTTATTTAAGAGATTGCAAGAACTGTGAATGTATTAGTATATAACATTTTAGTAATAGTTAATTTTCATTATTTTAAATTCTTCATTTTAGGGAGTCTAAGTTCAAATATTCCTTGGAACATATTAACTTTAATTCTGTTTAGCTCCTTAAAATTAAGAAAGATTTGTCTATTAATAATGGACATTCAATTTTTAAAGTACTCACATTACTTAGTAGGAAGGTTGTATTAATGGAAAAGTGAGAGAGCCATCTGGTGGCCAAAGTATCTTTCAGTTCCCAGGGAGACTTATAAAATATGAACAGTGGATAGGTTCTATTGTATATTCAAGTAAAAAAATGTTAAATATAAAAAGTTATATGGAAAAAATAAAAAAACTCAACCATATAAATATATTCATAGTAGGCAAATGGTCATGTTGTTGCAATGAATCATGGCCTCCGCCTAGATCTAATTCAGATGGAATAAGAGAAGCCTCTGGGGTAGTGTGTGTGTGTGTGTGTGTGTGTGTGTGTGTGTGTGTGTGTGTGTGTGTGTGTGTGTGTGTGTGTAGAGAGGAAAGGCAGAGAATAAGGCTGTCAAACGGAGAGGATTCTTAGCATGAATAAAATTTAATACAAATCAAAAAAGTTACTATAATAAATTTACCAATTTTAATACAGTAAATAGTGGTGATAGAAAACTGTTCTCTGATTAGGGAATAACTACTGCTTATGGAAGTGCACAAATATTTTATTAAACATGGTAAAGGAAACAAAATTAGTTCTGATTCAAAATGCTGTACCAGGATACCTATGGCCATCGGCCACTGAAAATGCACAATATCCTATTGCCTTATTAGAATCTTAATTAGGGTATGTATTTATCTATTGCCAGCAGCGTGTTAGGTGCATTAGTAAAGCAGAAGGACAAGCTTCCTGCCTTTAAGAGTTTGTAATCTAGATAGATAATAAAACACAGAGAGGGGGATGAGAGAGAAAGAGAATTGTGACAAAAAGGTGGAATTTAACACATACTTTTGGCATGAGGAAAGTTAATCAAAGAAGAGGAACACGGTTTGTAGACTTTATAATAGATAAGGTATTGGACTGGGACTCAGGGCACCTGGAATCTATTTTCAGCTTTACCCCTGGTTAGCTTGGGCAAGTCAGTTCAATGCCCCCATCTGTAAAATGGGAATAATGATCCTCCCTCTCTGGTAATGTGCTTTAAGATCGACAGATGAAAAATTTATTTCTTTTCAAAGTACACCTCTACCCCGATATAACGCGATCCGATACAACACGAATTTGGATAGAACGCAGTAAAGCAGCGGTTTCACCTATAACGCGGTAACATTTTTTGGCTCCCGAGGACAGCGTTATATCGGGGTAGAAGTATAGTACATTTTAACAAAGAACATGAAGAAAGAGCAGGAATATGGTAGACTAAGTGAAGGAAGCTACTCATAGAAGGTTCATGTTATGAAGGCCAAGACACTAATTGGGTTAAAATAAGAACTAGATAAGTTCATGGAGGATAGGTCCATCAATGGCTATTAGCCAGGATGGGCAGGGATGATGTCTCTAGCCTCTGTTTGCCAGCAGATGGGAATGGGTGACCGGGGATAGATCATTTGATTACCTCTTCTATTCATTCCCTCTGAAGCACCTGGCATTGGCCACTGTCGGAAGACAGGATATTGGGCTAGATAGACCATTGATCTGACCCAGTATGGCCGTTCTTATTAAGAAGGCAGAAACAAGAGTTTGAAGTTATTTAATTATGCAAAATGCAGGGTGTGGGGAAGGGAATGAAAAGGGAAGATGGAAAAGGTAGGCAGTAGCCAGGATATGCAATCTTGAAAGAGAATAAGGAACTTAAATCTTACCGTCACATAATGAGTTTTTAAATTCAGTCTTGACAAAAAAGAGGCATAATTTTATATGAAAATTAAATGTTTTCCAAGATTAAAAAAGAAAAGTCAAGGAGACTGAATAAATCAGAGGATAATTAATGTAATATGGAGTTTGACCTCTTGGTCACTGGCTGAAATTCAGCATAGTTTGGTAACTAAAATAATCATCTGATTGATAGCTTGGTGGCCTTTACAAAATGAATTTATGGTCTCAATCCAGTTTGTAATGGACAGCTGTCTACCTCAAAAACCATGACCACAATTGGCATTCTTAGCCATAGTCTGACTAGAGAAGCCAAGGACTCAAGGGCTATACATACTGAACTGACCCCATCTTCCCCCCCCTGCTCTATAGGTGGTCTTTTTAGTTCAGGTTTAGGTGCAGTGGCAGGATGGTGTGAAGCAGCTTGCACAGATGCTGCCTCTCGTGCATGTGTTCTTTGACAGAAGATTCTGGTTTTCTGGGCTATCAATTCTGCACTTCTCACAACCACAAGTTTCACTCAAATATAATAATGCTCATGAGAGAAATGGATAGCATCATGGCAAGCACACATGCAGTATCTTAAATAGAATAAACTGAATGCCCTTTAGCTAATTATAATAACTAAACACTGGATAAGGTACATTAAGTATTATATAAATACTATATTATTTGACTGTCGTAAGAGTTCTTACATTCTTAGAGGAGCTATTTTAAGTATTTTATATAAACTAGTAGATCTAATTAAGAGAATGTAAACTACCAACCAGGGTATATTAAGTCAGCTTGCATTTGCAACAGCATTTCCAGTGATTTCATGTAGTCATACAAGTCTTCAAATACTGCTGTCCCTTCTCCTAGAATACAGTCACCAGAAAATATAGCATTTTCTTCCACTAGATGTAAAGCCATATGATCATCAGTGTGCCCAGGTGTATATAAAACTCTATTAAATGAAAGGAATGAATAATTTTATATGCAACAATCACATATACACCATTTACATGTAACAGAAACAAATGCTGATAAAGCCATGAATTAATATGGCAGTCTAGAAAAAACCTCTGTAAAGAATCCTTATTAGGGAAAGAGGGTTAATATGAAATGTTAGCTTAGAGATGATGTGATCTGGGCTAACCTGGTCCATTTTCTTAAGCTCCATAAACATATATGCAAACTAGCATACATAATTAGCTCTAATATTCTATTCTATACCACAGGTCCTTATACTACACTCATCACTGTGGTATCGGCGTGGGCCGAGCAATGTGCTGGCCACCCTTCCTGCAGCCCCCATTGGCCTGGAGTGGCGAACTGCGGCCAGTGGGAGCCGCAATCACCCGAACCTGCGGACGCAGCAGGTAAACAAACCGGCCCGGCCCGCCAGGGGCTTTCCCTGAACAAGTGGCGGACCGGCTTTGAGAACCACTGTTCTACAACACTGAAGTAGTTTAATTCACCACTGACTTGAAAGGGACTCCCTCTGAGTAAGGAAAAGAAGCAGGATGTTTCCTTAAAACTGACAGAAGCAGTAGAGCAGCGTTATTTTGATGGGAGAATTCTGGACAATACAAATCTAAAAAACAAAAACTCTACTCCGAGCAGAGTTTTTATTTTTTACCCTGAAATGAGACAAGTACCAAGGATTCCATGAAGTACATTATGGACTTTGTTATCTATTCTACATGGAAACCATTCATAAACTATGATGATGGGCAGCAGTATAAAACACCATAGAATATAGATGGTTGCCCTAAGGAACAGTTTTATCTAGGGAACCTTCATAACTTTTCTAGGGAGGCTAGATAGTGCTGAAATCATGGGGCTGGATCCTGATAATATTAGGTAATCCCCTCTCACATAGGTAGGTCCTCTTGACTTCAACAGTATTATTCAGCTGCAGAAAGACTACCTGCATGAGTAAGTAGTGCCAAGATCTGACATATAGGCTGCCCTCCAGTCAATTATATTGAAAAAATAATTTCACTGTGGCATATTCACGAATCTCCTCAACTGTTTTGGCTGTCTTAAAAATAAGAACTAAATTATGATGCAGTTATAAATAGTAACTTCACAATTATGAGGTATGAGAGGAAAACATTCTTAGTTTTAAAAGTGGACTTAGCCTACTAGCACAGAACTAACATTTACCTGAGAGTGGCTCCCTCAGTTTTTAACACATCTCCATCTTTCAGATATGAATACTTTAGCTTTTCTCCTTCTATTATTTCCTCACGATGAGGAGTGCGTGGAAGCTTACTTATGCAATATTCAGAATCTATTTAAAAAAGCAGATTACATTTTAGATCATTCACAGTTAGGGCCCTACCAAATTCACAGTCCATTTTGGTTAATTTCACAGCCCTAGAATTAAAAAATATCATAAATTTCTTGATTTCAGCTATTTAAATCTGAAATTTCACCGTGTTGTAATTGTAGGGGTCCTGACCCAAAGGAGTTGGGGGCGGGGGGGAGAGGGGAGGTCGCAAATTATTGTGTGGGGGGGAATGTCGTACTGTTACCCTTACTTTTGTGCTGCTGCCTTCAGAGCTGGGCAGTTGGAGAGCAGTGGCTGCCGGCCAGGACCCCAGCTCTGAAGGCAGAGCTGCCGCCAGCAGCAGTAGTGCAGAAATAAGGATGGCATGGTATGGTATTGTCACCCTTACTTCTGCGCTACTGCTAGGTTGCTGCTTTCAGAGCTGGGCACCTGGCCAACAGCCACCGCTCTCCAGCCACCCAGCTCTGAAGGCAGTGCATAAGTAAGGGTGCCAATACCGTGACCCTCCATAAAATGACCTTGCGACCCCCCCTGCAACTCCCTTTTGAGTCAGGACCCCCAATTTCAGAAACGCTGGTCTCCCCTGCAAAATCTATATAGTATAGGGTAAAGACACAAAAAAGACCAGATTTCACAGGGGGAGACCAGATTTCACGGTCCATGATGCGTTTTTTCATGGCTGTGAATTTGGTAGCGCCCTATTCATAGTTAAGCACTGATTACTCTCAGGCTGCTAGCATGGATGCCCCATAACATTACAAAATGTGAGTAGATGTACCATTGTGCAGGAGTCTATTTCAATGCAAACTTAAAGAATAAAAAAGTTTATTGCAATAACAACATGTATATGAAGGAATCATATTTACATAGACAAGACCACTCAAACACACATGAAAAACTCAAAAATTGAATACAGCTGGTGTTCTAAAGAGGATAAACAAAAGACGACTTCTCCAAATGAAATTTCACTTTGAAATTCTTATAATCCATTATTAGTTTCATTTGGAGAAGTTATGTCTTGCTCATTAAGACACCAACACCATTTCCAGCTGCCCTTGGGGACTCCTTGGAAGTAACTCTGATGAGGTTACAGCCTGTGGCAATCTCCCACAAAACACAGAAGGGCTGCATTCCCTGTACTGTTCATAAGGTATAAAAAGAAACCGCTTTCTCTGCTTAGAGATTTAACCAAAACAAGCATCACTGAATCAATATGATATCTTCATTTATTTTGGGTAAGGACAAACACGCAAAGTGTCCCTACCTTACACAATTTGGGGTCTGGGTGTTCACCATAAATTTCCATTCGAGTGGTTACCAGCCACCTGATCCAGTTATTTATTTGTTGTTCAAGTGAAAATAATTGTCAATTGATTATTCTGTGTTAACTCAGGGAGGAATCTCTTGTTGTTGGGTGAATTATCAATGGTAAACTAGCTTCCCTCTCGTCATTCATAGACAAAAGACTATTAACAGTATGAGGCTTTCCCCCTTCCAAATATGTACATACATATTTATATATTGACATGAAGAAACATTTTGGAGTGCATCTAAACCAAACATTCATACTATTTACTGTACTCATACTATGCGCTGTAACAGCATCATGTGTTTAAATATACTGTACAGCTCACATGAAGATCTCAAGTGCACAGTCCAGCTAACAGTCCTCCAAAACACTCTAATTAGAGGCTCCTGTCCCCATAGCTAACCAGTAGTGCCCCTTCAGTAACTGTCAAATTAAACTATAATCTTCTGCCTACCATTGTGGATGTTCCTACAAATATCAGATATGCCTCCAGTATGATCATGGTGCCAGTGTGTCACTAAAATTTCCTGGATTGAGATGTTGAACTCAGTCAGTGCCTGTTTTAAACAGCCAATATATTCAGGGATAGCTGGCTCTCCCGTGTCAATAAGGATCCTTCTACATTTGAAGAGAGAAAATATGGCAGAAATGTTCAATTACAAAAGTCATTATAGAATTAAGAGATTCCCTGGATGATGAAACCCTAAATACTTCGGGAAGACCACCTCTTCCTGTGACACACTGCTGCAGTACTATCAGCAGAAGTGCTCGAGCTGCATTCCCCCCTCATTGTAAGGTGGGGGGCTCCTGGCAGTATGTTCTTTATCAGGGCCCTGGCACTGCTTTTGTCCTGAACAGCCTAAATTCAGTGAGGTTTGGGCATGCTACAGAAGCCATGTATTTGGTAGGATTTTTGGAGAGGATTGAGGATATGTTTCTAGAAAGCTGGGAGAACATGGTTTTTTTGGCCAAGCTGAGTTTACAGATGTTTGCTTTTTGACTGCTGATGGGTTATTGCGTTGTAACATTTAATTGCCAGAGCACCTACAGACAGCATAAAGCAGTGGCTCTCAAACTTTTGTATTGGTGACTCCTTTCACATAGCAAGCTTCTGAGTGCGACCCCCCCCCCCTTATAAATATATTAAAAAAGTGTTTTTAATTTAACACCATTATAAATGCTGGAGGCAAAGCAGGGTTTGGGGTGGAGGCTGGCAGCTCACAAACCCCTATGTAATAACCTCACGACCCCCTGAGGGGTCCCAACCTCCAGTGTGAGAACCCCTGGCATAAAGGAATCTTTGAATCAAAATAAACAATGTTGAAACTTTGGACCCTGGCACAACCACCCAACATCAGTGTCGGTAAGTAAAAATTTACACCGAGTGCCAAGAAAAACTGTGGCAAGCCCAGGGAAAGAGCCAGTACCTGTTGTCATGAGGAAATGCAATGCTTACACCACGCCCTCAGGTAAATCACTGAACTCGGGACATATAAGCCCAGGGAAATATGGGAAAGTATAAGGTCTCTGGAAGGAAGACAAGGAAGGTGAAATCCTGACGGGCCCAGAAACCCAACATACAAACGGATAAAACTGTGTGCCAGAGCCGGGGAAACCCTTCACTGCCCCTAGTTTCCCAACCCCACTCCCTAGGCTTCCCGTGACCCCCGGAATCCCCCCTACAAGGCACGACAGCACAGAGAGCATAGCCCCACTCCCAGACTTCGGGGGAGAGCGGCACGGGCCTCGCTTGGGCCTGTCTCAGAGACCGGGCTCCAGCCTCAGCCAGGCGGCGGCTGCGGAGTTCCAGCGGGGCTGGGAGCGCGCGGCTCTGCAGGTGCGGGGCAGTCAGAAGCTGCCGGCGCCGGCCCTGTGGCGGGAGCCTGCGCTCTGCCGAGGGGCGGGGCTGTTACCTGGGCCCGGTCCCCACCAGGTAGGTGTTGGTCCCCTGCAGGGTCATGGGGCCCGGGTTACAGCCCAGCACGCGCACCACCCGCGAAGAGAGCCGCTCAATGCGCGGCAGCAGCGACGCCATTTTCCCCGCAGGGCCAACAGCCTAACGGCGGCGGCGCGCGCGCTCGACAGAAGAACGTAGCTCCCCTTGGCCCCTCCCTCACGGAGAATAGCTCCGCCCAGCGCAGGAGCTGAGCGCGCGACTGTTCCCACGGAGGCTAGGAGGTGGCCTTTGCGCGGAGGAAGTTGGGCGGGGCTGCTTGGCCTTGGCCCAGTCGCCTTCTTCCCTCAGCTGCCCTGAGAGCAGAGCGTTCACCTCAGCTGAGCTTCCTAGGCCTTGTCTACACTAAAGGGAAAAGTTCCATGTAGCTCAGATCTACTTACCGCGGGGTCTAGTCTCTCGGCAGTGAGCTGGGAGCCTAGGTGCAACCGGTGGGCTTCTTGCAGGGAGCCTCTAGGCAGCACTAGGGCTCCTAGCTAGGAGTCACAGGGCAGGACCCAGCTGGGAACAGGGAGCCAGGTGGGCACAGGTTAACTCAAAGCTGTGAGCCTGGGCAGCAGCTGGGCTGGGGGAGCTGGGACCTGGGGGGCAGCCTGGCTCCTAGTGGGAAGTGGGGTGGCCACAGCCTGGTTGGGAATGGGAAGCCCACGGGGGCAGCCAGGCTCTAGTGGAGGCCCCCCGCCCTGCGGTGACAGCTAGACTAGGGCCTGGCTGCCCGCACTAGAAATTGACAAGAATGATAGCCAACAGCCAATATAAGTAATGCAGTGTCTACATGGACACTGTCGCCCTATGTTGACAAGCCCTATGCCTCTCATGGAGGTGGAGTTATGTCAATTATATTGGCACGAGCAAGGCTGTAGTGTGTACACTGATATAATTAGGTTGGCGTAAGGCTTACATCCACCTAACTCTGTAGTGTAGAGCAGGGGTTCTCAACCTTTTTCTTTCTGAGCCCTCCCAACATGCTATAAAAACTCCATGGCCCACGTGTGCCATAACAAATGTTTTTCTGATTATAAAAGCCAGGGCCAGTGCTAAGGGATAGCAAGCAGGGCAGTTGCCCAGGGCTCCACACCACAGGGGGCTCTGTGAAGCTAAGTTACTCAGGCTTCGGCTTCAGCCCCGGGCTTTAGCCCCATGTGTTGGGGCTTCAGCTTTCTGACCTGGGCCTCAGCAAGTCTAATGCCAGCCCTGCTTAGCGGACCCCCTGAAATCTGCTTGCGACCCCCCCAGGGGACCCCAGGTTGAGAAATGCTGCAAGCCTCAGAGCGTCACAGCTAAATAGAAGTTGGAACAGACAGTTTAGCATAAGTAGTTAACACATATTTCAAAGACCCATTCAAAGTGAAGTGGCCCATTAACAATCTTCCAGTCATGGGGGGCAGAGAGGGGGAAGGAAGGGAGGGGAAAAAAGCATCTGTGGCTGGGGGTTGCTAGTGGACTATAGATTGTTGTCATAAGTCCACCGTCTCTATTCAGTCCATGATTTTAGGCCATGTCTACACTTACAAGCTTAAGCTTACATGAGCTTAAGAGCACTCTTGTAGCTACGTTATGCCAACGGGAGAGAGCTCACCTATCAACATCATAAAACCAGCTCAAAGAGTGGGGGTAGCTATATTGGCCGGAGAGTGTCTCTGCTGACATAGCTCTGTGCACACCAGTGCTTATGCCAGCAAAACTTATGTCACTCAGGGAGGTGCTTTTTTTACACCTCCGAGTGACAAAAGTTTTGCCATCATAAGTGCTAGTGTAGACATGGCCTTAGTGTCTAGCAAAGTTAAGAATTTAAGCTCCCAGGCTCATCTTTTGAATTTGTTGTGCAGATTTCCCTTGAGAATGAGGACTGAGTAGTCAGATACAGAAGACTTATTTTGTGAAAAGTGTTCACCCACAGTGATACGGTGTTTTTGTCTTTTATCATTTTCCTGTATAAGTTCATGTGAGAGCATAGTGATTGTCTGGTTTCACCCACATAGTTGTTATTGGAGCATTTAGTGCACTGGATGAGGTACACCATATGTTATGATAGGCATGTGTAGGATCCATGGATCTCAAAAGGTGTGTTGTGGGAGTTGTTGATCATCCTAGCAGTGGAGATATGTCTACTGGTTTTGCATCTATTCTGACAGCATCTGGTGCCGCTTTGAGTTGGTATGTCCTGGTCTGTGGGGACCTTGCTTCTGATAATGAGTTTGGAAAGGCTGGGGGATTGTTTGAAGGCCAGAAGAGGAGGGTTCAGGAAAGATTTCTTTCAAGATGTAGTCCCCATGAAGTATGGGTTGTAATTGTTTAATGCTACCCCGTATGGGTTCCAGTGAGGTGACAACTAGGGATGTGCGGTCAGAGGGGTTTTTTATTTCCATACTGAAGCAGGTTCTCTCAGGGTATTTGGGTGGCCCATTCCATGATGTGAGCTACTTCTCTGGTGAAGTGTCCTTTTTTTGGAGAAGGCGGTTTTAGTGTGTTAAGGTATATATCCTGGACTTTCTCCTTGGAGCGTATTCTATGGTATTTGAGTGCCTGACTATAGATTTCTTGGTGCATTTAGGATGGCCACTGGATCTCTGAAGATAGGTGTGGTGATCCGTGGGTTTCTTGTATATAGTAGTCTTTAGGTTCTATTGGTGGTGGTATCCAGGAAGTTCATGCTAGTGTGGGAGTGTTCCAGAGAGAGTTTGATGGATGGGTGGTGGTTGTTGAAGTTGTGGTGGAAATCTCCCTGGATACCATGATCAGCTTCAACAATGGAACCTGACAGACAACTATATACAGGAAACCCACGGATCACCATGCCTACCTTCACAGATCCAGTGAAGGTAACTATCCTAAACAGTGGGAGGGACACAATTAGAATTATGGGCTATCTGTACAAGTAGAATTTTTGGGAGGGATTCCAAAGTGTGGGTCTGACAGTGTTATGATGTTGGTCTGGAAAGTATTACTTCTGTCGATGATCCTTTATGCAATGATTAAAAATCTCTCTGGGACCAAATTCTGGCTGGAGCTGTTGATAGGTGCACACCAGAAATTCCAGACAGCAGATGGACAACAGAACACTTATTGACTGTCTCTATTCTCGTGCCTCCATAATTTTGCCAAGCCAGCCTCTTTAATCTATTGGAACCATTATTTATATCACACTCATCACATTAATTTCTCACTTTCCAGGATCTTTAGCCTCAGAGGGGCAATTACAGGATTTGCTTGGAGTCAGAGGGGCTCAGGCTGCATGTTATATATGTATGCTCTGACTCAGCAGTGGCCTTTACACACAACCTTACCTCCCCCTTCTAGATTACTCCTACTGTCTATAGTTGAGCATGGGTCGGTGAATGGAATTGGCCTCATACAGAAATCAGGTGCCTTAAAATGCTGTTTTTGCAGTGTACATGTGCATCTGTTTGGGGCGCCATTAAACCTATTTTCAGCCATCAGGTAAAATTTGGCTCTTGGGTTAGGCATATCTGTGATGTCACATATAAAAATGATGGGACCTGAAGATACCTAGGCAACTTGTGTATTTTGGTAGCTGACTTGCTCTAATGTAAATTCAGTTTTTTTTGCATAATCCTGAAAGTATGAGAGGGAAAACCTCTTCAAATTTGCTAAAAATCTCCCACAAACTGTGCTGGTGATTTTTTCCTCCTTAATTGCTTTGAATGGTAAGATTCTGACTGCTTATGAAATCAACCATCAAGTGTCTTTTTTCTTTTTTAGTATCAGTGTAAATTTCTTCTAAATAAATGTCTTTTCTAATTACATGTAGGAGCTATGAAGCTATTTGGTCTGTAGATGGCAGCAGTAATATCCTTTGAGGAATTAATTTACAGGTTCTTTCTGCCACAAGAAAGCCTTTGGTCTTCGTTTCCAGGACCTGACCACTAGGTACAAAACTTTGATACCCCTCTTTCTAGTATGCACTGACTGAAGTGGCTGCTGTTAATATGTTTTTGCAATTCTACTAGAGCTTCTAGAGTGGACAGTGATTTGCTTCAGCTTCTCCAATTCAAATAGCAGGTTTGCATTTTTAGTAAAAGCAAGCATACTAACCAAAGATTATTTATTTGTGAAAAAAATAGTCTTAACAGGAGAGTGTGAACATTATAAACAACAAAAGAACTAAACAAAATGAGTTTTGAAATGAGGTTGCTTCATATTTTACAACCAAATGATATTAACTCACGGCCAAGTTTAAAAAAAAATTTTTTTGGGGGTGCAAATAGACACCTAAACACGTTTAAAAATGTGGTTCTCAGCTTTTATCTTTTGCCCTTGATATGTGTAACTGCTGAGAGTAAAAGCTTTTCGTTGAGGCTAAATAATAGCATCTCTGTTGCCTAAGCATGGAAATATAATTCTGTGTTTATTATACAAACTTTGCTGAATAGGGTAATGCAGATGATTTCACAAAATAAATCATTCCAATATAATTTAGAAGCTGCTAGTTAGAAGTATTAGTGAGATAGGATTTTTTTTTGTTTGAGCTTTTTTGTTTGTTTGTTATTTTTATAGCTTTGCAATTGCGGCTATAAAACACTTAAAAAAAAAAGATATATGTATTTTCTGGCCATCAGCAGACGTTCCCTTTTCCATCTGTTGAATCTTTATGCTTTCCCATTATTTCATTTTTGCCAGGGAGAATTTTTTTGTACACTTACCTGTTCCAAGCATCAAAACACATTCATCTGCCATCTGTTCATCTCATTGCATGAAAAAGCAAAACCCTTACCTTTTGTATACATTTTACAATGTATCTTATTGCAAAGACAACTGCTGAACAATTCTTTATTTATTAATAAGTCAAATATATTCACAGGCTTTGCTAAATCTACATATATATGTATATTGATTTTGATCAATAAGTCTTAAGAAACCAGTGTTATTTCAACAAGTGGATATACTTTCATGGAATAAAAGACATGAAATGAGATTTAGTTAAATAACCTTTATTTTAGGACTATATTAAAAATCCATAGATAAAGGCTCTTTTAGAATTCTTATTCCAATAATGTATACATTCATAAGGATTGACAGTTCCAGATAGCTAGCAGTTTATTAACTATGTCACATGGTCAACAGGTGATTTAAGTTTCAGTTTCCATTATGGCACGTAGCCTTTCACTTTTGCTGATGGCAAACTTTCGAGGCACACAGTGAAAGTATGAGAAATGTTCAGACCTTCAAAGCTGCTTGGAGCAGACTATGGATTTTACAGTTAAAACTTTGACTTGTCTGTGGCAGGTATTAAGGTAAGTTTGAATTTATGATAGTGTTTTTAAATATATTTCAAGCGGTAAAGGTCTACTTTTTAGTATTTTACAGCTTCTGCTCTATCTCGGAATGACTGTGTAAAGGTATATTGGGTTTCAGAATGGGCACATTTTTCAGCACAGGGTACTTAAATTGTACTTCTTATGGATGATATCTTAACAGATCTTGTACGGTAAGCAAGTTTTGAGCCTAGAGGTCTTGGATCAGGGACTAGGAGATTCCAGGTGCTGTAGGGCATAGGCGACAACACCCTTCTCCAAGTCAGCATTGAACTTGTACCCCACATGGCATTAGGAGATGCTTTAACTATTGGAAGGACTGTCATAGATTACACATAAACACTTGTATACATTAAGGGTCAGATTTCCAGTTGAGATTTCAGATGCATCTGCAAAAAGGCATTTGTGCATGGTCTTGTGATTAAGGCAGTAGAGTGAAGTTTGGGAGATATGGATTCAGTTTGTGGATCTGTGACAGACTTCCTGTGCTACCTTGACAAAATATTGATTATAATGCTTCCCTATTGAAGAGTGTGGAGAAGATGAATTCATTAATGTTTATGAGTTGCTCAGATACTGAAATGAGGGTACAGAGATGGGGCCCATATGAGTAATTAGAAGTCCAACTACCCAATTTACACACACATATTTCAAGCACAAAAATCACAGATCATGACTAAAGTCATCTAAAAACTTGCCCCCAGGTATCCCATAGCATATTGCCCATTATACATGTTAATCCTGCTAACCTGGAAGATATCAACATCAACAATTATATTATCCCTGTCCAAATAGAAGCATAAGACTTGCCATATTGAATCAGACTGTTTATTCATCAAGTCTTATTCTGCCTCCTGTAGTGGCCAATAGCTACATTCTTATATTTTCAAATAGTGATATATTCTTCATCCACCATCCTAAAAACTGTACAGTAGTTACTGTGACCCATTACAATGGCAGTTAAATATTAAGGGTGAGTGAAGTAATCCTTATATATCACGTATATTCAGAGCATTATTTTTTTTAAGAAATATATCTCACAGGCTGCCAATTTAAATATTACATAAATGAAAGAATTATTAGGTTATGAAATATTAGTAAGAGCAAAGTTCAGTTTAGCTCATGCTCTACTGTGTACCAAAGTTTACTCCCCTAACCTCCCCAGATCATGTCAATTGCTGTTGATATTTGGAAGAAGTTAGTGACAATTTTTTTTTTTTTGGTCAGATGAAGGGACTCCAGGTATCTGAGTTCTGAGAGTACGTCACTCTACTGACCACAGCTAGGCCAAGACTTGAGATAGGAAGTTGACAGAACAGAAGACTCGTAATAGCTAGGTTACTATTCAAAATTTGGTCTGGTCAATATCAATTAAGAATTGTCAGGATCTTTCTTGTGGTCTATGTCATATTAGCTAATGGCCTCAGTTCACTTCTTAGTGGGCAGGTGTCCAAAAATCACAAAAATCCAAAGCAAGCCCAGCCCAACTCTCTTCCTTCCAATCCTTCCTGTCCCGGCTCTGCTGGCTGCCCCCAGGTGTTCCCCATAAAGTGTCTGTCTGATACTGCTTTGGTTGTGGTGTGAGCCTGACATTTTGAAATGTTCATATGTTTGGTTATTTTGGTATGCTGCCAAAATTTTCCTGACACATGCACGTGAGAGAATAGAAGGGAACTGGTGACTTTTAACAGTTTATAATTCAGCAAAAACTGAATGGAATTTTATGAGACAAAGAAAATGCAATTCCACAGCTCATAGACTCATAGACTTTAAGACTAGAAGGGGCCATTGAGATCATCTAGGCTGACATCCTGCACATCACAGGTCACAGAACCACCCGCTCCTCTTGTAATAGACCCATAGCCTCTGACTGAGTTATTGAAGTCCTCAAATCATGATTTAAAGACTTCAAGTTACATAGAATTCACCATTTACTCTAGTTTAAACCAGCAAGTGACCTGTGCCCCATGCTGCAGAGGAAGGCAAAAAAATCCTGGGGTCTCTGCCAATCTGACCTTGGGGAAAATTCCTTCCTGACCCGAAATATGGCAATCAGTTGAACCCTGAGCATGTCAGCATGACACCACCAGCAAGACTCCTGGGAAAGAATTCTCTATAGTAACTCAGAACCCTCTCCATCTAGTGCTCCATCTCCAACCATTGGGGATTTTTGCTACTAGCAGTCGCAAATGGGTAGGGTTGCCAGTTTTGGTTGGATGTATTCCTGGAGGTTTCATTACATGGCATAATCTTTACTTAAAGATTAGTCTTTAATTCCAGGACAATCCTGGAGGGTTGGGCCACATGCTATTCTAGGCAATTTCATCATACCATCACCTCCATAAACTTATCGAGCTCAGTCTTGAAGCCAGTTAGATTTTTTTGCCTCCACTGCTCCCCTTGGAAGATTGTTCCAGAACTTCACTCCTCAGATGGTTAGAAGCCTTTGTCTAATTTCAAGCCTACATTTGTTGATGACCAGTTTATATTTGTTTGTTCTTGTGTAAACATTGGCGCTTAACTTAAATAACTCCTCTCCCTCCCTGATATTTATCCTCTGATGTATTTATAGAGAGCAATCATATTTAATTTCAGCCTTTGTTTGGTTAGGATAAACAAGTCAAGCGCTTTGAGTCTCCTCTTGTAAGGTAGGTTTTCCATTCCTCTGATCATACTAGTAGCCTTTCTCTGCACCTGTTCCAGTTTGAATTGATCTTTCTTAAACACAGGAGACCAGAATTGCACATGGTATTCCAGATGAGGTCTCACCAGTGCCTGGCATAATGGCAATAACACTTCCCTATCTTTACTGGAAATCTTTTGCCTGATGCACAGCCACATTACATTGGTAGCTCAGAGTCATCCTGTGATCAACCAATACTCCTCTTCTGTTGCTTCCAACTAAGAAGTCTCCAGCTTATAGCAAAAATTCTTGTAAGTCCCTAAGTGCATGACCTTGCACTTAGTACTATAAAATTTCATCCCTTTTCTATTTCTCCCATTTTCAAGGTCCTCCAGATCTTGTATGATATTACGGTCCTCGTCTGTATTGGCAATACCTCCCAACTTTGTGTCATCTGCAAATTTTATTAGCACACTCCCACGTTTTGTGCCAAGGTCATGAATGAAAATGTTAAATAAGATTGATCCCAAGACTGATCCCTCAAGGGCATTCCCTCTGCTGAATATCAAAGGTATGTTGAAAACAATAGAGGCGTGAGAGATTCTCAAAGAAAAAGTCACAAAAATCATTATAATGGAAATTGTTAGGCAACCTAAATGTAGGAACTGTAATCTGCTTCCCCGATAATAAGGATACATATTCTACAGTAAGGCCAGGGCCGGCTCTGGCTTTTTTGCCGCCCTAGGCAAAAAAGCCACCCGCCGCACCCACCCCCCACCCCAGCACGGCAGGGGAGGGCGCTGAGCCCGGCCGCGGGCCTGCAATCCCTGACCGGCTGGAGCGCCGGGGGGAGGACGGCGAGCCCGCCTCGGCTCCACTCTCCCCGGCGGCCAGAGCGCTGGGGGGAGGGCGGAGAGCCCCTGGCGGCCAGAGTGCCGGGAGGAGGGCAGAGAGCCCAGCTGGGGCTCTCCGCTTCCCCGGGTGGCCAGAGTGCTGGGAGCAGGGCGGAGAGCCCGACCGGGGCTTTCTGCTCTCCCCGGCAGTGAGCCCCCG